TCCCTCAATTTCACTTCCAAAATTCTTTATGACACCCCTAGAATAATTGGACCCCTTCAATCAATTTTTAAACCAAGACTAAGTTAAGCCCAAGTTCAAGTTCTAGCTAAAACCCTAATTTCAAGCCTAAGCTCTAAATTAACTTGAACGTTTTGATTTAACAAAGCCTAATCATCTATGTCACTCCTAAGACTCGTAGGATGCTAATCAAATCATCCATGAACAAAATCTTGAGCCATGGAGTGAGAGTACCCCAAATCATGGGATCTTCCACCCTAATTTGGCTAAGCTCTCTACCTCATGCCATCAATGATAAAACTTTAAAGCTAATTATCAGTAAACCTTCTCTGACCATCCCTGAACCAGCTAGCCACCTCCTCTAGCCTGGTCGGCGGGCCTAGTCACCTGAAAATCCAAAGCTAAGAAAGCCATCCTCAGTTTAAACCCAAATTTCTATGCATCCAATGTGGCTCACCCCCATTGGTGAATTGTGTCACTCAGCCCTCCACCTAAGTATCCTTCTCCATCCACTGGCTTGGCCAATTAAGTCATAATTCCATGGCTATTTAAACTACCCCTCTCTTGTCCATTAAAAGAGTGTTATCAATTCCTTAAGAAGACCCCTCCAAATTACTCTCATGGGCTCCCCAAACCCTCCTAAGCTCATCCCAATAAAATTCCATGCATCTTCCTAATTTCAAGCTTGAAATCCAGGGCTTTTTCCGCCATTCCACCCAAACTTCAAATTGGTTGTTCCAAAAGCTTCCCCAGACTAAACAAGAAATTTAACCATTGAAGACCCATCATTTTGAGCACTCTAACCCACACCTAGAACAAACCCAAATCATCCCTTGATCGAACTCTTGCCTAGACTCAACCTCAGCTCAAAATGGCTCTTGGAGGAGCTTCGTGTAGTCACAACGAACTTCTACAACCAACCCAATCGAGGCCTCACCTCTTGGGCAAAGGTATAGCTGACAAACCCTAAAATTGTGGTTTCATTAATTGTGAAGAGAAGTTTAATTTTATATGTATTTAACTGTATGGATGCGTTCGTCTCGATTAGATAAAGCTATAGGATCAAACCCCTTGTGATTTGGTTAAGTATGGAGTGAGATCTTAGGTTTAAAAAACATGCGGTTCTCGGTTTAGCTTTGATGGGGATGATGAACGGATGCCATCCATTCATACGTGTATTAAATCAACGGACCAGAAGGAGTCGGACGAGGAGATGAAGCATAAAGCGTGGGCTGAGTCAGCGCTAATGCGAAAGGTGACATTAAATGGGAGTGTGTCGTGTGGAGCTTCGACGGGTCCTATGTTGCGGTGGCGCTGAGGTGGATAAGTAGGAAAAAAGGTATTTAAATGATTTAAAGAATTAAAAAAATTCAAAAAATCATAACTTGGTATAGAAAAATTATAAAAATAAAATAAAATTACCCCTATGCTCTGTGAATAGAGGAGAATCATGTGGACAAAAATAAAAAATTATTTGCCTTATATTGATTTTTAAATTAATTAAATACTCTAAATATTTATTAAATCATAAATAATTAAATATTAATCATTATAATATGAAATTTGGAGAGTTTTGTTCTCTCTGTGATTAGGAGTGTTCTCTAATTTTTCTGAAGTCAAAGAACACTGCTAACATGGTAAACCCTAATTTCCAAAGTTAAGTCACCCTTTTTACTTAAAATAATTATATAAATTAAAATAAAAATCAAAAAAATATGAGGTTTCTTTTGGTAGATTCACTATGGTCAAAGGAGTATAAGAAAAATAAAACCTAAGTTTAAATGTTTTTAAAATATAATTTCCTAATTTAAGTCATCAAAAACTCTAAAAGATTAAATAAATAAAAGATAATTCAAAAAAATCATAAAAATTGATCCATACTAAAAAAAAATGAACGTATCCAGCCTCTGTAAAAATTTGAAACTAATATGAATTGATTTCACTATCAAAGTGTATTTTTCAAGATAAATGAGATTTTTGCACTAAAATAATATGATAAATAAATTATTATTAAGAAAAGTATGAAAACTGATATGGAGTGATCCTTGTGAAAAGGAGTACCCAAGAAAAATAAAAATGATGTTAGAATAAATAAGTCATTTTTTAGCTAATTTTTAATTTAAAAATAATTAAAAATCAATAAAGTAAAAAAATGTACCAAAATGTCACAAATTGTTTCCTGACCACTTAGGACCAATTACAATATTTCTAAAAATTTTTTAATGTAGTTATGTATTTTTAAATGCCTAAAATGTAATTTCTTTAATTTTTCACTAAAATAATTTTAAAAAATTAAAGTAAATATAAAAAAAATATAAAATAGGTTAGAGTTCCTTAAAGTCAGAGGGATCAATAAAAAATATAAAATTTATTTTTTTAAAATAAAATATATTTTCTATTTAATTAACCACCAAAATAAACAAATCGTTATAAAAATTAAAATATAATTAAAAAATTTATGAAATTTAACTCAAGTTGTCCTCTAACATAGGTGAACTTCTAATAATTTTTCTAAGGACGGAAAATTTTCCATGATTGACTAAATGAGCTAATTTTGGAAATTCTCATTTTCGGACTAAAATAATTATATAAATGAAAATAAAAATAAAAAAAATTTGATTTCTTCTCTGGTATTTCAATTAACCCATGAGAGATAGTCAGAAAATTTTCAAACTCATATAAATTAATTTAAAAAATTTATGAAGATAGGAGCCTTAGAAGCAAAACTGTAATTTCCACGTTTCACCCCTAATTGGGATATAGGATGAGCTAAAAACTTAGAGGGTAACATTTTGATCCTAAGCAATATTCTAAAGTGATTAAAACATGAGGGTAAGAGGTAGAAACCAATTGACGTTCACTTTTAGAGAAGAAGATTATAAATGTAATTATCCAAGTTGTTAAACTTTAGAGGAAAAAAAAAATTAATTTGAATGATCGAAATGTTTGGGACATAAGTCAGGAAGTAAATAACTCACTAACCTAGAGTCCCAAACCAACGGTTGAGCTATAGGCTGATCTTTTAATATGAATTAAATATTCTTAATTTGACGCTTTTCCCAGATTACACATCCACCCCTAATGACTTAAGAGCTTTCTAGTGAGCTACGTTTAATCTAAAGAAACTTGAGGGTTAGTTGGAAGATAAACGATAATTAATTCCCTTCAAACACTACAAGCTCAAACTTGCCTATCCCTCCTCTTATGGGTTAATTGGGGGATAGGACTGAGCACGCCTTAAACCTAATGAACTTCGGGGTGATCTATTCAACAATATAATAAGTTTAAACAAACTTGAAATGGTTTAAAGGTTTCTTAAATGTTGTTTAAGGTTATGCCCCGAGTACTTATATAATCTTTTGGATATTTTGAATAATAATTGAACTTTTTTAGATATTGAATCTCATTTTGTCCATGAGTCATGCATAATGAGTAAATTTGTGGAAAAGAGTCAATGAGCTATTATGTTAGAGGATTGTATTACGCCCATCTTGGTTCCAAGGTGAAGGGATTGAAATCTATTTTATATTTAAACCTCCCCTTTAATAGGGTGAAATTGCTCTATATAAAATAGATATAGGTCATTATGATGTTCGAACTATCAAGGACACCTAACCATTTTTCTGACTAAATCGTCATTAAAGTCTAGATCTTTCTCAAGGTTTCCTCTCCAAAGTCAACAAGTTGTTTTGGAGATGAGTGGATCCCTCAACCTTTTATTCACATTCATTTGCACCATCCATTTTGTTCACTTGCATTCAATCATTCATATTTGACCACTCGTACTTGACCATTCGTATTCTCTAAAGTCAACTACTTATCTAGCAGATGTGTGGTTGCCTTCGCCTTTTATACTTGTATTCCTTTGTTCCGTCCATTTTGGTTGTTCAAATTCGATCACTCGTACTGGACCATTCATACTCGCCAATGCATGATAAGGTTGGAGATGCCAGATTGCTTTCATCGTTCTGACTTCTAGTTTGTATTCATTACAAGTCTTGGACTAAGACAAAAGGCCCATTTAGATGAATCTCTGCTCCTAGTTGTTCCCATAACCATTCCTAGGTGTAATCGACTCAAATTTTTAAATAGAAGGAGAAAGACAATTTTTCTCTCACCTCACTAACATAAATCACCCTCTATACATTTATATTATTTTTGTTGTTATAAATTCTACCAAAGTGAGGCCAGGCGTATAATATGTATATATATATTATATGTTCGTATATTTGTGTCCATGAGCCAAATTATGTGTGTTTATGACACATCGATTCATGAAATGTTAGCTTTTTATCTCTCAAAATCGATTCATCCCAAGGATCATGCACTCAGAATCCTCCACGTCAGATTCTTTTCTTATCGCTATCCCTCCTGGCTAAAAACTACTGGCCGAAACAAAATTTCTTCACCAGGTCTCATCTTCAAAATCATCAAATAGGAAAAACAATCCCCTGTCCAGCCATGAGCAACGCAACTCCCCAAACAAATGAGCCCCACACACGTGCTATTCATCCGACGGTAAAATAAACAATTCGCTGTGCGGCACGAATTGCTGCTCCCAAAGGCTTTTGCAGCAATCAAACACGGATCAGGAAGGATGGATCCCCTCACCTCTCCAACGGCAATTCAACGGCGCTCTGCCGGTGACCGCACTCAAACTAAAGGCCGTGGGCCCCGCTGCGGTAGATGACGAAGGATATAATATAAAATACAATGGGCGGCCTCGGAAAGGAGACTTACCGCGTCTTGTTTCGACACTTCCATGTGGAAATTAAAAAATAACTAAATATGAAAATTTACACACAATCTTTTTTATTTATTTGTACACATATTATTCTGTTTTTATACTTCAAGTATTATAATAACTTATAATGCCATCAATATTAATTTAATTGAATACATATAAATAGTTATGATATTCTCAAAAAATAATCTAAATTTATTTAATATAACTAAATATATTACTGGCCTCCAGCTGTTATAGAAACCTCCATTAATATAGCAATTTCCGCAGCGCTCAGCTTTCCCTCTTCGGTGAGCGGATGGAGCTAAGCTGCATCACTTCTTCGTGCTCTCCGTCCCTCCTATCCGGCGGCGGAATATCCGCTAAACGAGGAGACAAAAAATGGATTAGAACTCTGCGGGTGCGGTCGGCGGCGGAGAGGATTGATGACGGCAGCGTTTCGAGTCGAGGCCGAGGTGTCATCACTGGTGCGGGTCCCGCAATGGAGATCTCATCTCCGCCTTCCTCCTCCTCTGCCAACGTCGGCCAGGAGGCCGAGTTCCCCGTCTGGGATAAACTCGGGGCGGTAGTCCGGCTGAGTTACGGAATCGGTATTTATCCTTCTTGTTCTTCTAGTAATAATAATGAGTTGTGTTTGATAGTCTAATTAAGGATGAGTCTTGTCAGGGATATATGGAGCTATGGCGATAGCGGGCAGGTGGATATGTTCGGTTGCGGGAATAGATGAGACGGGAGGATTCCATCCGTCGCTTGAAGCTGTAATCGACGGTCTGGGATACGCGTCTCCGCCCGTTATGGCTCTCCTGTTTATACTTGATGTAATCCTGGCCACTTCCTTGGGTTTAGTGATCTAAATGTTAAGTGATTATGAGTTTGAGTTTAGTTTTGGTTGATGTAGGATGAGGTGGTGAAGTACTCGCCTCATGCGCGAGCCATTAGAGATGTGGAGGATGAGGAGCTGCGGAGCTTTTTCTACGGGATGTCTCCTTGGCAGGTACTTCATCTTAGCTGCTTTGCAATATTATATA